AGGCTTCCTGGTCGACAGCCCCACAAACCAATGGCTGCACCTCAGAAAAGGACTGAATGGCGGGTGTTGCCCCAGAGTGCCCAGAGTCCCTAGGGAAGCTCACACCTGTGCAACCTTGTCCAGAGTCCCCTGTGCATCCTGCCGACACCTCCTCCAGGGAGCCCCTGAGTCCTGCCTAGTTGAGCAGCAGCCCCCATCCCTGTCTTCCACAGCCTTCAGTGCAGTCCTACAGGGCAGCCTCTTCGGGCAGCTGGGCACCATGCCCTCCACCTACAGCACTCTCTTCCTCAGCGGCCAGGGCCTGGCTGGGATCTTTGCTGCCCTTGCCATGCTCCTGTCCATGGCCAGTGAGTGCACTTGGGTGGCTGGAGGGCTGGGGCGGCCTCTGAGGTTTGGGGAACAGAGAGGGCATGTGAGAGCAAGACACCTGGGTTCTGGGTGAAGATGGAGGTAAGAGGGTGATATGGAAATGGGGATTGGGTCTGGGGCTAGGGAGTGGGGCTCATGGGCCCTGCAGTGAGGAGTAATAACCAAGCGAGGACTGGGTTAACTCAGAGACAGGGGCAGGATTCCTGGGGCCAGTACTGGCATGCGGCAGCAGGTTGAAGTTGAAGGATGAGGGGATGGGTTTGGGATTCAGATAGTCTTGGATTTGAATCTGCTTCACCGCTTACCAGCTAGGGGCACTGGACAAGGCTTGTCACCGCTCTGTGCTAGTTTCCCCACCTACGTGATCGTTCTAGCTCCCTGCTCAGATTATAATGAGCATGCAATAAGAGAAGGCTCCTGGCACATAGTACGTGCTCAACAAAAATGACATGTAGGGGAAAGTGGGAAAAGGGCAGGGCTGCCCTGGGGCCCTGTACAAGATTCCCATTTTCAGTGAAGGGAGGCTGGGAGTGGGTCTGAGAAGTCCACAATGGGAAGTGGGACAAGAGTTGGAAGCCCCGTGGGAGCTGGTGGGACCAGGTGCCTCTTCTGCAGCTGAAGTTTCTCCGCAGGTGGCGTGGACGCCCAGACCTCCGCCCTGGGGTACTTTATCACGCCCTGTGTGGGCATCCTCATGTCCATCATGTGTTACCTGAGCCTGCCTCACCTGGTGAGCCTGCTGTTGGGCTCGAGGCCCCACCTTAAAGCATCTTGGATAGAGTCCTGAGTCTGAGACCCTGAGAGAGGCCAGGGGAGGTGGAGGAGACCTGGCCTCAGCCCTGACCCCCAGAGAAGACACTGAGGGACCCCAGCCTCCAGGCCAATGATGTGGGCAGGGATCCAGACACCTCAGGCAAGCCAGGCAGGCCCAACACTTTCCTGTCCTTCTACAGAAGTTTGCCCGCTACTACCTGGCCAATAAACCATCCCAGGCCCAAGCTCAGGAGCTGGAGACCAAAGCTGAGCTCCTCCAGTCTGGTAAGCCCTGAGAGCCACCTCCCCTGGGAAGCCATTCCCTCTGTTCCCAGCCAGAGCCCACCCCTAGTAGCCTTGTGCAAACCGGAAGATCATGAAGGGAAGTTGGTAGGATTAAAGTCATCCCTGCTGTTGTTTGGGCCTCAGTTTCCACCTCTATAAAATGAGGAGGCAATAGAGCTTCCATGCATGCAAACTTTGGATACAAAGACCTCTGAATTTGAGTACTGGTTTCACAACGTCTCAGCTGTGTGGCCTGAGACAAACCACTTAGCCACTGCAGCCCTCTGAACCTCAATGTGTCATTTGTAAAGCAACGATAATGAGATAATCCATCTAAGGTGCTTTGCTCATCGCCCGACCCATGCATGCGCTTCCTGGTAGCTATGCATGTTTCCATCATGAATTCGCTTCGCCTGCAGCCTGGGCTGGAGGAAGGGCACTTGTTTTTTTTGGGGGGGCGGGGGGAAGGGGGTGCGGTTTGTTGTTATTTTGAGGCAGCATCTCACTCTGTCACCTGGGCTGCACTGCAGCGCAATCACAACTCAACTGCAGCCTCGACTTCCTGGGCTCAAGTGATCCGCCTCAGTCTCCCGAGTAGCTGGGACTATAGGTGCAGGCTCCCATGCCTGGCTAATTTTTGTATTTTTGTAGAAATGGGGATTTACCATGTTGCCCAGGCTGGTCTCGAACTCTTGGGCTCAAGCAATCTGCCCACCTCAGCCTCCCAAAGTGTGGGGATTACTGGCGTGAACTACCATGCCCAGCTGAGGATCACTTGTTTTAACTGCTGGGAATCTCCCTTCGTTGGGCCTGGCTGTCGGGAAACCTGGGTCACAAGCATGACCCCTCGCCCCTCCCCCCAGATGAGAACGGGATTCCCAATAGTCCCCAGAAGGTAGCTCTGACCCTGGATCTTGACCTGGAGAAGGAGCCGGAATCAGAGCCAGATGAGCCCCAGAAGTCAGGAAAACCTTCAGTCTTCGTTGTCTTCCAGAAGGTTTGGCTTGGATATAGCCCCAACCACCATCCCTGGGGAATAATGGGGTTCACATTGTCTCCCCCAAGGTCATAGGGTCATAGTGGGTCAGGGACACAGCTGGGCCAGACCCCAAGTGTCCTGCTCCCAGATGGGGCTTGGGCAAGAGGGTGGGGCCCTGGGACTGCCCTGCCTGCTCACACCCCTGCCTCTGGCTCCCAGATCTGGCTGACAGCGCTGTGCCTTGTGTTGGTCTTCACAGTCACCCTGTCCGTCTTCCCCGCCATCACAGCTATGGTGACCAGCTCCACCAGTCCCGGGAAGTGGAGTGAGTGTCGGAGTGGAGAAGACAGCAGGGTGGGGGGTACAAAGGGGAGAGGACGGGAGAGGGGAATTGGGGACCAGTATGAGCTGCAGCCCTTTCCCTCCCAGGTCAGTTCTTCAACCCCATCTGCTGCTTCCTCCTCTTCAACATCATGGACTGGCTGGGACGGAGCCTGACCTCTTACTTCCTGTGGGTAAGCACACCAGGGCTGGGTGATCTGATGTTTTAGGAAGCAGTTTGGGATCCGAGGTCTTGAAAGAGCATGGAGGTGATTTTCCAGTAGTCCAAGTGGCCTGGCAGTGGAACCACTGGCCAAGCGGCAGGGAGCACCTGGGCCCTGGAGGTGTGCAGGCCAGGGCTTGCACCGTGAGCTCCTTGAAAGCAAAAGTCACGTCCAGCTGACCTCTGTGTCCCCAGCATGCAGCCTTCGCTGCTCAGAGAATGTTACATGGAGGTTCCTGCACCAGGTGAGGGACTGAGCAAGAGCCTTAGGTTTGGGGTTGGTTTTAGCCATGGTGCTGTGTCTTTAAATGAAATCTTCCAAAGAGACAATACATAAAGCAGGTGAAAGAGGAGCTGGTCTCATCCAAGTCAGGACAGGAGCTGATCTACCGCTTCCGATCCCACTCAGAAACCCCATCTGCCCCCAGGGGGTTCTGGGAACCACCAGGGGATGCTCTGAGGAACCGAGTATGTAAACTGTAAATGCTGTGGAGAGCACAAGCTGGAGCCTGGGAGAGGTAGAGGTGAGCCCCAGGCCGGTCCCTGATTGCTGGGTGGCCTTGGCCCAGGCCCCAGCGCTGGGTCCTCCCTCACTGGCTCACAGGGTAGGTCAGGTCAGAGGAGGTCAGGGGGTGACAGATGGGTCTATCCTATGGGTGGGCCAGGCGTGGTGGCTCATGCCTATAATCCTAGCACTTTGGGGCCGGACGCAGTAGCTCACGCCTGTAATCCCAGCACTTTGGGAGGCCGAGGTGGGTGGATCACGAGGTCAGGAGTTCGAGGCCAGCCTGGCCAACATGGTGAAACCCCGTATCTACTAAAAAGATAACAATTAACTAGGCGTGGTGGTACATGCCTGTAATCCCAGGGAGGCAGAAGCTGCAGTGAGCCGAGATCGCACCACTGCTCTCCAGCCTGGGAGACACAGCGAGACTGTGTCTCAAAAAAAAAAAAAAAAAAAAAAAACCTAAAATTCGAGCACTTTCGGAGGCCAAGGCAAGAGGATGGCTTGAGCTGAAGCTCAGGAGTTCAAAACCAGCCTGGGCAACACAGTGAGACCTTGTCTGTACACACACACACACACACACACACACACACACACACACAAATTTTTAATGAAAAAAAGAGGCTGGGTGTGGTGGCTCACGCCTATAATCCCAGCACTTTGGGAGGCCGAGGCGGGTGGATCACTTGAGGTCAGAAGTTCGAGACCAGCCTGGCCAACATGATGAAACCCCCGTCTCTACTAAAAATACAAAACTTATCTGGGCATGGTGGCGGTGGGTGCCTATAGTCCCAGCTACTCAGGAGGCTGAGGCAGGACGATTTCTTGAACCCAGGAGGTGGAGGTTGCAGTGAGCTGAGATCAGGGCCACTGCACTCCAGCCTGGGCAACAGAGTGAGACTCCATCTAAAAAAAAGAAAAAAAATAAAAAGTACTCTATGGGTGTCCTGAGATGCCCTGGAGCAGAGACCTGGGTCCAGGGACCACACTGACCCCAGCCTCTGCCACAGCCAGATGAGGACAGCCGGCTGCTGCCCCTGCTGGTCTGCCTGCGGTTCCTGTTCGTGCCCCTCTTCATGCTGTGCCACGTGCCCCAGAGGTCCCGGCTGCCCACCCTCTTCCCACAGGATGCCTACTTCATCACCTTCATGCTGCTGTTTGCCATTTCTAATGGCTACCTGGTGTCCCTCACCATGTGCTTGGCGCCCAGGTCCGGGGGAATGGGGTGGGGTAGGGGACTGGGAGTGGGGAGGTGGGTTCAGTCTTTGGGAAGGGACTGCCTTCGAGGGAGGGATGGCCCATCTTGCTTCTGGCCAGCCCAACCTTAGCTGTCTGCAGGCCTTGCTGGCGCCCCTTGCCTGGCCAGCCCTTAACTGCAGGGGAGAGGAGAACTGGGCTAGTGAGGTACCTGCCCAGCAAAGTAGCCCAGGCACTGGTTCTGGGGCCTCCTCAATGGGCCTCAGTTTCCCCATCTGTAAAAAAAAAATGGGCTGAACTGTCATTCCTCAGGGCCGATCTAGCTGTAAAATTCTCAGTTGAAGGAGAGCTAAGGTTTTTTTTTTTGGTTTTTTTTTTTTTTGAGACGGAGTCTCGCTCTGTCGCCCAGGCTGGAGAGCTAAGGTTTTGACGAAAAACAAGGTTCATGGGCTATTTCCTCAAGGGGCAATGGAGTGGCGAATCCAGAGAAAATGAAGCTGGCAGGGCAGACAGGTTGGGAGCACTGTGGAAAGGGCAGGCTGTGGAATCTGGAATCCCATCATGTTGGACCCAGAGGCCCTGAGAGACATCCTTATCCAGCAGCCTCATTTACAGACCAGGAAACAGGCCCAGAAAGACGGGGCCAGTTTTGGTGACAGAGCCCAGACTGGATGGGCAGCGGGTGGTGGAGCTGGGTCTAGGTTTGGACCCAGCGTTTTCTAAGAGCTCCTGTTCCCGGGTGTTCTAGGCAGGTGCTGCCACACGAGAGGGAGGTGGCTGGCGCCCTCATGACCTTCTTCCTGGCCCTGGGACTTTCCTGTGGAGCCTCCCTCTCCTTCCTCTTCAAGGCGCTTCTCTGAAGTGGCCCCTCCGGGCTCTTTGGCAGCCTCTTCTCAACGTCTCCTTCTGAAGCTGAGATCCAGCCCAGGGCGAATGGCGAGCTTGGCTTAGGCCTCTGCTGGGTGGAGGCCTCTGGGCCTGGGGCTACCAGCAGGGGGCAGGAGCTGCTCTTCATCCACTTGGAGTGCTGCGGGGAAGAATTCATCACCGGTCATTCTAACCCTCACCCAGGAATGGGGGTGACTTGCACAAGACCTCATGGAAAGGGTGATGTCTAGAGAAGAGAGGGTGCAGGGCATGGCCGCTCCCCACCACCAGGTCTGCATTTGTTCATCATCACCAGGAGCAGAGGCAACCAGAGGGTTCAGAGCGGGAGGTGGGGCCAGCCCAGGGCAGGAGCTCCTCGTCCTCCCAGGCCTCAGCGACCCAGGGTAAAAGGTGCCAGGGAAGTTGGGGGGACCTGGAAGAAGAAACAGGTGTTGAGGACCTGAGAGTGCTCAAAGGGCCAGGCTCAGCCTCAAGCAGTGTTTTCATTGCCAACACTTACTGTCCCCACTCCACAGAGCCCAGCTGGGCCTGGGCCCCAGAGCCACAGCTAGCCTGCATGTGTGCACTGCACTTTACAGTTTGCAAACCTCTTCCATACCCACTCTCTCACCGAAGCCTAATTGAGGCCCTTGAAAGGAGCTGGGCAAGGATTGTGCTTCCCCCATTATACAGGTGAGGAAACTGAGTCCTGGGGAAAGTGACTGGTCCGTGGTAGAGCCGGGATCCAACCCCATCTCCCTCCTCCCTGTAGGTGCTGTTCTTCCTGCCCAACACCTGTTTCTGTTTTCCTCAAGGGGTTCGGGGCAGGAGCCCTGGGCACTTACTCCCCCTTTTTGCTGTTTCTCCTTCGGACCCTGCTCTTGGGTCTAATAACAACCCCATTTATTTGTATGATGCGTTCACCAAGTCTTTATTTCCGAAGTGCTGTTGGCTCTATTGGCCTCAGTGAACTGGGTGGGGTTGGAAAGATTGTACCCCATTGACAGGTGGGGTGACTGAGGCCCCGAGAGGGGTAGGGATTGGTGGTCATCTCTGTGCTGGGTCCTCTGGACCACATGATAGCTGGGGGGTACTGACCTGCAAGGAACTCTGAGCTCCTGGGCAGAGCACCTGGTTAGATGGACAACTATTGCTCTCCCCCTCCATGAGTCCCTGGGCTCTCACTGGCATCCTCTGCCTCCCCAGGGTCGCTTCTCCTCAGAAATCTGGCCTTAGAGAGGCAGTCAGTGTGGGCAGGGCTTTGGCGACCCCATCAGTTCTATAGAGGATGAAGGAAAGTCTGCTTCACCACACACCTGTACTACCCTGCCCATCCCAGAGAAAAGCAACGGTTTTCTGCCCACCTGCCATTGTGAACATTCACTGAACACCTATTAGATATCGGATGCTCAGCCAGCATAGGGTACCTGCTCAGAAGCCAGGGGCTCTTGGCATCAAAGAGGAAGATGGGCAAGATATGACCTTGGTTGCTGAAATAAGCCACAGGGTAGACCCCAAGTAAGGATTCATTCCTTCAAGCACTGTTCACAGGCAGCTGCCCCGGCCAGGCCCTGCCTAGGCTGGAGACTCTGAAACAAAGGAGACAGTCCCCACTCCTAAGGCCACGGGAAGCCAAATGTAACTTGTGATACGTCTTGTGAGGGCCCTGCAGAAGCATGTCGAGGGAGCCACTGATTCCACCTGAGAAGTCAGGCAGTCATTCTGGAGGAGGTATTTCCCCAGCTGGGCCCTGAGGGATGAATATGAGTTTGCTAGTCTGAGGTGGAGGAAGGGCAGAAGCAGAGAAGCCACAGAGGAGTTGATCCCGGCAGTCCAGTGGGGAGGTGATGGGGCCTAGACAGTGGCTTCCAGAGGAGGACTGATACAGGAGATGAGGGAGGCTGCCTCTATGGAGGCCAGCTAACCTCGTGGACAAGTGCATGCATGCTGACCCAGAGTCCTGGGTTCAAATTGGCCCTTTTCTTTATGACCTGCCTGAGCTGGAGTCCTGGAGTGAGGTTGGAGCTAGAGTACCACCTCTGATGATATTAGGGAAACGGTTATTGGAGTCCTAGGAGTCTCTCGCAAGACCACTAGGCCTAGCTGTGCTGTTTGACTGGGACTGTTGGGGGCAGGACCCCAATACTTGCTGGGTCCCCTTCTCCTTCTCTACCTTCAGAGGAGAGGACAACTGTTGTCCATTGTACCTAAAAGCTCCCTAGAAGCCGGGCACGGTGGCTCATGTAATCCCAGCACTTTGGGAGGCCGAGGCGGGCAGATCACCTGAGGTCGGGAGTTCGAGACCAGCCTGACCAACATGGAGAAATCCCATCTCTACTAAAAATACAAAATTAGCCAGGTGTGGTGGCACATGCCTGTAATCCCAGTACTTGGGAGATTGAAGCAGGAGAATCACTTGAACCCAGGAGGCAGAGGTTGCAGTGAGCCGAGATCGCACCATTGTGCTCCAGCCCGGGCAATAGGAGTGAAACTCCATCTCAAAACAAAACAAAAGCTCCCCAGACCTGCCAGATCCACCTGGGACCAAGAAGGCAGACACCCACCTGCCCACCTCACAGGCCAGACAGTCCCAGGAAACCCACTAGGGCCACCCGTCACCCAGAGCAAGCCCAGTGGAGGGTGGGGCCCAAAAAGAGGACACTTACCCCTCAGGTGTCCTTATGATGTCACAACCTGGGATTCCGTCTTCCCATCCTCCTTCCCAGTAGACCCAGCACAAGTTTATCAGCTCAGGATGCAGGCGCTTTGATGTTGGAAACATTCTTGGACTGGTTGGCTACACCTGCCTGCCCCTCACCTGACACCTAGTCCCCAGCTACTGCTGCCTCCCCACCCTGTCAGAGCTCTGCCGACAGCGCCTAGTCCCCAGCTACTGCTGCCTCCCCACCCTGTTACAGCTCTGCCGACAGGCCCGGATTCCCGCAGACGCAGCCATTTTCCATCAGCAAACACTTGCACTGCACAGGGCACTGAGCTGGGCTCAGTGGAGAGATATCTTTACCCTCAAGTTGCTGACCCTTTTATGGAAGAGGAGACTGGTGGTTGGAATTCTACTACGTGAGGCCAGGCATGGTGGCTCACGCCTGTAATCCCAGCACCTTGAGAGGCCAAGGCGGGCGGATCACTTGAGGTCAGGAGTTTGAGACCACCCTGGCTAACATGGTGAAACCTGGTCTATATTTTAAAAGTGGCAACTTAAAAATAATGAGAGTTTTGCAGTGTTTTACCTGCCCTTGCTCCATTTCCCTTCTGGGTTAGTGGTGGTGTGAAGATGACATTCCCAATGTGGGACCCTAGCCTTTGGTTCTCAAGGGAGCAAAGCAGACTTTGTTCTCAAAGGATTGTATCTATCAGTTCTGACCTGTCTGGGGACTACCTAAAGAACTGATGCCAGTTCTTTAGGCATGTCTGATGTCTGATGCCAGACATTCGCTTTTGTTTTGCCTAACTCTGAAATCTCTCAGGATGGAAAAGCTTCTACTTAGAGGACAGTTCTCCAAAACACTGAAAGGCGAATTAACAAACCCTGCTGTCCAGAGCAAAGATTACAGTTTACATGAACAACAGACAAGCTGAAAGGTTGTAAGGAAAAGCTGGGGAGAGATTCTTTGGGGAACTGAAAAGCTCCCTTAAATATCAGGGAATTTAGAAAGCCATATACATGCAGGGCAAGATGCATGCTCAGAAAAGACTCAAGAAGTCCAGGCGTGGTGGCTCACACCTGTAATCCCAGCACTTTGGGAGGCCAAGGCAGGAGGGTCTCTTGAGGCCAGGAGTTTGAGACCAGCCTGGGCAACATAGCAAGACTCCGTCTCTACAAAAATAAAAATAAAATAGCAGGGCACATGATGGTACATGCCTGTAGTCTTAGGTGCTTGGAAGGCTGAGTCAGGAGAATCATTTGAGGCCAGGAGTTCAAGCCTGCAGCGAGTTGTGACTGCACTACTGCACTTCAGTCTGGGCAACATAACAAGATCCTATCTTTTAAAAAAAGGCAGGCAGGCCGGGCGCGGTGGCTCAAGCCTGTAATCCCAGCACTTTGGGAGGCCGAGGCGGGTGGATCACGAGGTCAGGAGATCGAGACTATCCTGGCTAACATGGTGAAACCCCGTCTCTACTAAAAATACAAAAAAAAAAAAACTAGCCGGGCGTGGTGGCGGGCGCCTGTAGTCTCAGCTACTTGGGAGGCTGAGGCGGGAGAATGGCGTGAACCCGGGAGGCGGAGCTTGCAGTGAGCCGAGATCACGCCACTGCACTCCAGCCTGGGAGACACAGCGAGACTCCGTCTCAAAAAAAAAATAAAAATAAATAAAAAAAATAAAAAAAATAAAAAAAGGCAGGCATTAATGGAGGAAATGAGGAACGAAAAGATACGAGACGTAGAAAACAAATAGCAAAATGGCACAAGTAAGTCTTTCCTTATCAGTAATTACTTTTTTTTATTTTTACTTTTTATAAACAGAGTCTCACTCTGTTGCTCAGGCTGGAGTACAGTGGTGTGATCTTGGCCCACTGCAACCTCTGCTTTCTGGGTTCAAGCAAATTCCTCTGCTCCAGCTTCCTGAGTAGCTGGGACAAGTGTGCACCACCACACCCGGCTAATTTTTGTATTTTTATTAGTGACGGGGTTTCACCATGCTGGTCAGGCTGGTCTTGAACTCCTGGCCTCAAGTGATCTGCCCGTCTTGGCTTCCCAAAGTGCTGGGATTACAGGTGTGAGCCACTGTGCCTGGCCTCAGTAATTACTTTAAATGGAATTGACTCAACTCTCCAATTAAAAGGCAAGATTATCAGAATGGATTTAAAACAAAATTTTTTTTTTAGAGGCAGGATCTCACTATGTTGCCCAGGCTGGTCTCAAACTCCTAGAGCTCAAGCAGTCCTCCTTCCTCAGCCTCCCAAAGTGCTGGGATTATAGGTATAAATCACCGTGCATGGCCGAAGAATGGATTTTTAAAAAATGTAATTCGACTGGGGCTGGGCGCCGTGGCTCATGCCTGTAATCCCAGCACTTAATTTTTCTTTTTTTTTTTTTTTTTTGAGATGGAGTCTCGCTCTGTCACCCAGGCTGGAGTGCAGTGGTGTGATCTTGGCTAACGGCAAGCTCCGCCTCCCGGGTTCACGCCATTCTCCTGCCTC